CAATTATTAAAGGGCCAGTAAAGCGTTGATTTTTAAAGAAACAATTATTCAAAGGCCAGTAAAGCGTTGATTTTTAAAGAAAACAATTTTCAAAGCCCAACATAGCGTGGATTTTTAAAGAAAAAATTTTTCAAAGCCCAGCAAAGCGTGGATTTTTAAAGAAACAAATTTTCGAGGATCAACAAAGAGAGGATTTTTTAACAAAAAAAAAATTTCAAAACCCAGCAAAGCGTGGATTTTTAAAGAAAAAAATTTTCAAATCTTTTTTAAGGCCTGGTGAAGCATGTATGTTTGTGGAAAGAAAGTTCTTTATGGTAAAGCGTGGCAATTAAAAAAAAACTCAATTATTTACTGAGGCACATTTATTCCAAGAAAACCTCTTATAAATGCCTCGAACGACAGAAGGTTAGTTTCATTTTGTAATTAATAACAATTTTACGTTCTAACCAATTACTAATTCAAAACTTATTCATTAATAAATAATACGACAGCAGACACCACTTCCCAATCGGGCGGGTCAGCGGCTCGCCAGAAGTGTCAACCAGAACATTTTGTTGTTAAGACAAAAGTGGATCGAGATATACCACATATTCCCATAACAAATACAATCGATCAACATTCCTGATTTACTGCATCCCATGTAAGTATTGGACGTGTGTGTGTGTACCCGCGCCATAAATGAAAGAGGAATGGAATGAATAATAAAAAAAAACTACTACCAATTGTCATTTAATTATTATTATAGCATCACTTGGGGTATAATTATAGATAAATCGACCGTTGGCGATTTGTTAGATGCGTCACATTCCAAAACAATGGCCTGATATTGTCAACCAAATAAGTGAAAAAAAAAAACAAAATAAAAAAAACTAGAAAACTAATATAAACATATGTATGTATCAAATCACGTTTTGGTATTTCACACCAAATAGGATATTGAGATGGAAAAAATATGACTAGGAAATGTTTTGTTGTTGCAAAAAGTTTTAACATTTGGTGATTTCTTGGAAATTCCAGTCAATGTATTGCCTTATATTGATATCGACATTAGCTTAAAGCAGACACACAAATTACCCTTTAGAGAGCGATTCTTAAATATCATTGAACGTTCTTCAACATTTAACCGAGCCATTTTTTCTCAAATTGTTTGCTATTTTTGGGGGCCTTTTATACTAGGATTTGGAATTTTGAATATGAAATTATTATTTGATGAGTTCAAAATAAACTTTATATTTCATTATCATTTTCTCACGGCTGAGTTTTATACCCTACTCCACAATTCTAATTCTAAGCTGTTTTCTCAATTCGTTTTGGTGATAGAGAGGGCCTTGGCTACTAGAATTTGGCATTTTATTCTATGGGATCTGAAATAGGTATTTTAATAAATTACAATTAAACGGAGCAAGTTGAGTTTAGGGGCTGTGCTCTGATCATTTTGAAATTTTTACCACAGGTAGGTATTTTTAAACTGATTACGGCAATATAAATTTTTTGTGGGGGAAATAACCGGTTACCCGGTTATTGGACCCGAAAGTTCAGATACAATGTTCGGTTTTTATCCGGTTCCACTGAACCGATACAAACAAAATGGGTATCATTGGAAAGCTTATGAAAATACCTATCCAACAAGTGGTCACATGAACCGGTTACAAGAACCGGTTCCAGAGTAATGCAAGAAAATTGATATTTTTTACCAGTACTTTTTGAAAAACCCATAAAAACTCAAAAATGGACCCATTATAAGGTATTAAAATCTACATACCGTATTATAGCCAACAATATTGCCTTTCCAAAATGGTATCATACATGTTGATATCTTTTGTAGTTCCGAAGATATTAGTGATAGAAGTCATTAATTTGCAATTTTTTCTCCAGTCAAATGTATCTAACCTCTATAGCATTTTTAAACAGCCGGCCTTCGGCCGGGGTTTGAGATTTTCTTCTCTGGGGTATGTCCAACACCGGCTACGCGATCGCTAGTTTTTCTTAACATCGTAATCTTTGTAGGTAGCCGGCCTTCGGCCGGGGCTTGAGATTTTCTCCTCTGGGGTATGTCCTACACCGGCTACGCGATCGCTAGTTTTTCTAAACATCGTAATCTTCGTAGGTAGCCGGCCTTCGGCCGGGGCTTGAGATTTTCTCCTCTGGGGTATGTCCAACACCGGCTACGCGATCGCTAATTTTTCTAAACATCGTAATCTTCGTAGGTAGCCGGCCTTCGGCCGGGGCTTGAGATTTTCTCCTCTGGGGTATGTCCAACACCGGCTACGCGATCGCTAATTTTTCTAAACATTGTAATCTTTGTAGGTAGCCGGCCTTCGGCCGGGGCTTGAGATTTTCTCCTCTGATGTATGTCCAACACCGGCTACGCAATCCATAGTTTTCTAAACTTTTATAATTAAAACACCTTTTATTCTTAATCAATTTTTTTATACTTTTTCTTAATAAATAACGCTAAATTACAAACTATATGAACAAATTAGGAAACAAACTTAAATTAGAAATAACAATAACAATAACAAATTTAAATATTAAAAATTAAACAATTAAACAATTAAAATTTTCCTAGGTGCGCCTTCTTTTTTGAGGTGGTGCGTCCTCATCTTCTGAACTATCGGACTCCTCAGGAGCACTCACCTCCAATACCATATAGGGTTCCGCTGAATCCATTTGGAATTCCTGCCTTTGCTTTTCAACTTTACTATTTGTGGGGTCATAAAGTTGACCAGCAAAGCGCAGGAATTCCTCAAATGGATTTTTCAGATTTGCGTGACACCACCTCAAGAATATAAATTTCTGTATATAACCGTTGAAAAATATTTTTCTACGGTTATATGCAGAAAGTGATACCTTGAGGTGGCGCCACAAACCCTCTATGGTATTAGTGTGGTGCCCCGTTTCGGGATCCACAAAATGTTCAGAATGGTTCACCTTTCGATGGGTGTACCCCTCCTCATCCAAGGTATCATAAGCCTACAAAAATAATATTTATTATAAAATAAATATGTCAAGATATTATATATTCTTACCTTCCAAAAATCGGAAATAATCACGGAACCGGGTCTTACATACTTTTTAATGAGGGGCAGCAAGGTTTCTTTCGAGCGGTCTTGAACGGGAACAATAAAGCATTTATTTGTTTCCCGTTCAACACCGCCGAAAACCCATTGCCCCTCAACAGGATGGCCACGGTGGTACTTCCTCTTTCCGATTTTAGACTCGTCGATCTCGACAATTATTCCAGGGCCGCCTATTTGCAATTGCGTCTGGAATGAACTAAAGACAACAACTTCTCTACAGAAGTTGTTCCAGTCCACTGCAGTCCGCTTATCAATTTTCGTCTCCCGTATTATGTCTTTGAGAGGGCCTCCCCTCTCAACCCACATAAAACTGAAGACGATAATTTGGCAAATTGAGAGATGCGAATTATCAAAAAACGTTCCTTTTCGTAAGGAACGTTTCAGATTACAACTCCCAGTTCGACGGCCCCGAAACTTCTTCTGACACCTAAAAATAAATATAATAAGAACTTGAAATTTATAAAATATAATTTACTTACCTCCAAATCCACCCATCGCAACAATCAACGTATGGACCCAGCTCCATGCAATGCCCACGATTGCATTTTAATTGTCCAACATCAGGAATTAATCCCCACTTCTGCAATTGGTGGAGGGCACCTTCAGATAACGCTCCACTGCGTTTATAATCGAAAATTTTATAAATTTCCAAAAGTTCGACACTTTCCATTGTAACGAAAATTTTAATTAAAAACTAGCTAAATTATAACGGTACTTTTTAGATATTCCTTTTCCACCCACATTCGCAGAAATTCTTTGTATCTTAATTCCCTTTCTACTCAGTTTCGTGAAAAGGAATGCAAAAAATGACGTTATATTAAAAGCACTTTTTAATCAACACCGAATTCAAACCAAAACAGATTAACAAAAACGTTAAACCCGACATAAAACTTGGCTTCACTCATACTACTTTCATAAGTAACAACTTTAAAAGCCAATATCTTCGGAATTACAAAAGATATCAACATGTATGATACCATTTTGGAAAGGCAATATTGTTGGCTATAATACGGTATGTAGATTTTAATACCTTATAATGGGTCCATTTTTGAGTTTTTATGGGTTTTTCAAAAAGTACTGGTAAAAAATATCAATTTTCTTGCATTACTCTGGAACCGGTTCTTGTAACCGGTTCATGTGACCACTTGTTGGATAGGTATTTTCATAAGCTTTCCAATGATACCCATTTTGTTTGTATCGGTTCAGTGGAACCGGATAAAAACCGAACATTGTATCTGAACTTTCGGGTCCAATAACCGGGTAACCGGTTATTTCCCCCACAAAAAATTTATATTGCCGTAATCAGTTTAAAAATACCTACCTGTAGTATAAATTTCAAGTCAATCCGAACACAGCCCCTAAACTCAACTTATGCCCAATTAAACATATATCTCATTTGCTCGTATCTCAACGTGGTGTTATACCCGCCTCCACCACAAAGACCCTTAAAAAATAATGAAGCCAGAAATAATCTTCAAAATTTCGCATCAATTTAGAGACTTTTCAAACATACAATCCCTTTAGAGAGAGATTTTTAAATAGCATTAACCTTTTTCTCAATATTCAATTGCCCTCAATACAAAATTTCTTCTCAGCCTGGTTATTTTTATACAGCATTTTAACCTCCGGCTTCGGGCGTTCTAAAAATATGCAAATGATATTCACACATGTTTTTATTTGTCTCTTCTTACAATAGATTAGGGGAACCCCTTTTGCAAACAACTTGCAAATTTCCAGTCACCCCGTACCCACATGCCCCTGGAAATCATATCTGTAAAATATCATGATTACTATCAAAACAGGGCAGCTATTTTAAATACGTACATAACAAAGGGCACGACAGCGGCTTAAGACGCATTATCACCTCCACCCCCTACATACCTCCCTCCACCTCCTTCATCTCATTATTATTGAACTTACCTGCAATGTGTATTTTTCTCCATCGACATCAATATCTTTATTCATGAACTCAACCCCAATGGTATGGAAATTGTTCTCATCATAACGATTAGAGACAAAACGATTCATAAGGCATGACTTTCCGACGCCACCATCACCCAAAATGACGACTTTTAGCAGGGTCGTTTTGTTGGGGGGACGCATGTTCGTCATGGTTGGTGAAATTTGTTGTTTTGATGTTTCGTTCGAATGGTTAGTTAATCGACTTGGAAACGGAGAGTTGTGAACGAGGTAGTGATTCCAAGCAGACGGAAACGATGGCAACAAAACAAGTAAACACAAGGGAGCAGGCAACAGCGTACGATTCCAAGTTAATGACACACAACAAACCAGCAACAATTTCAATTGCAAATAAAGAAGGTTACACAAGAAAAACTGCAAAATAAAAACACAATAAGTATTTTAAAGAAGTTTTGGAAACTTTAGGTTGGGCAGAGAGGTGGACGGGAGGTTTACCTTAATTTACACACTTTTGTTTCTTGTTTTTTCGCTTGATCAAGTCACTTGCCGTTGATTTTGTTTCAAATATTGCCCAAAAATATAGCAGCACTTCACACCTCTGTCAGGTTCCTCTTCATTGACTCCTCGTCAACGTCTTCGTTCTAATTACACCGTTTTGTTATTTTATTGTTTAATTAACTTTTTAAATGGCATTTAATTTATTATCTTTCTTCGGTATCTAGGGTATTGTGTGTTCCTTATCTTGTTTGTTGTTGTTCCCTTAAGTTTTTTCTTGAATGATTTTGTTTTTTACCCGAAAAAACAGAAAAAACACAACAAACAATAAAATCCGCCACACAGATGTTGTTGCTTTGAGAACAACAATGAAATTGTCTCCACTCAACAGTATGTTATGTTGTTGTTGCATGTATTCTCAGTTTGACATTGATGATGAGCACAGGTAGAGCACACCTAATCGATGGTGGCATAACGGAAAGTCGTTTATCGTATCTAGTGATCCCCAAAAGGGAAAAAGAAATAATAAATGAATTTAAGTATAAGTTTTAACAATAAATTAAAAATACTTTTTGTCAATAACTTTAAGGATAACATAAACTATTATATTTTTAGCGTTTAAATCCGATTTTGCAATGCATATAATGTCTTAATTGATATGTTATAATGTATAGAGTTTTATCGTATCTAGTGATTTATAATAAGAAAATAAAATAAATAATCAATTTAAATACATATTATATGACATTAATAACAATACTATTCATTAATATTATTAAAGATAAAATAAACAATTAACTTTTCAACTCCAAAAAATATATTTTACAAAGAATAAAATTTCATATGAGTTTTACATTACAGTGTGTAGAGAGAGAGTAGATAGGGCACACTAAATCGCTATATCATAACGGAAAGTCATTTATTCCATCTAGTGACACCTAAAACAAAAATAAAATGGACAAATGTATTTTTCGTTGATTTGAATTACTATTTTTAAGTAAAAATTAGTATTTTTTATAAATATAAGATATTTAAAAACTTTTGAAGAATATTGAGAACATTTTTCTATGCTAAAATAATGATTATTACAAGAAAATTGTTTTCTCTTAGCTGTGACATTTTAAGAGCAGATAGGGCACACTCAATAGATAAATGAACATTGAAAAGGTATGAGAATATGAGAGGTACAATAATACATGGGGGCTATACGAAGACGTGGGCCTGCACACACAATTTTCTGTCATAGACTGTAGTATTCATTACGAAACTCAAATACCAAATTTGAAACAATTCCGATAAATAATGTCGCTTAAATAACCAAAATACCAAAAATAGGGAGGTAACATTATATAGGGATCATACCAAAACGTGGACCTACATGGTCCATTTTCAATACCAAAAGTCCTGTACACATAATATACATAATGTACATTGTATCCTCCTACTTCAATTCGTTCGGAAGCTACAGTGATTACCACAGTCGAACAGGCGGACGGACATCACTATAACCACATAGAATTTTATGCTGATCAAGAATATATTTCTTTGTGGGGTCTAAAATGTATATTTCGAGGTGTTACAAACGGAATGACAAACTTAATATACCCTCCATACTATGGTGGAGGGTATAAAAAGTCCCGAAAAATATATTTATTTATTTATTCAATGAAACCGTATAATTTCGTGAAATATTAAGAATACACAAGACTAACATGGACATGAATTTATAGGCTTCTAAATAGAAAATTACATATTAATTTAATAGCACTACTGCAATTTCTCCCAGTTCTCTATTCAGCCTGACTGAATGCGTGGGGCTGAATTGATTTTTTCCTTTAGAAGATTCCAAAAAATGATTGTTTTCAGAAATTGCATGTTTTATTCTAACAAAAACGTCTCAATTATTTTTTAATAAATACATAACACATTTAGTAATATCTTTAATTAATTATTTTAAAAAAATTTTAAAAATTTAGAGACAATTATTTATTTAATTTTCCATTTAGGGATCAGTAACAGCAATTGACGGCTGCCCGCTATCATCCAATGTAGATTGAGTGTTCCCTAACTGCTCTCATTAATGCAAAACGGAGTTTGCATGCAACAGCAAGATAACTTGTTTAGTTATGACAATTACATTTTTGACTCGAAGCAACAACATCTGCGCGGCGGTTGTTATTCTTTATTGTGTTTTTTTATTCGTTCGACATGGCAGAATTGAATTTTTCCCTTAGAGGATTCCATTCAACTGATTCGTTTCAAAACAAAATCGCCAAAATGCCACATTGAAATTGTTTGAGTTATTTGTGTTCCGTCTTCCACTCTATTCGCACCTGTGCCTTTCTCTTGAATTCCATCTATCCACCGTATTCGGTGAGATTTCAATGTTTTGCAAAGAGAATATTTAATATTATTACGTTGTATGTAGGGCATTTTTATTTTTAAACAATTATCAATTTTCGTCACAGAATTCCAAAATGTTGTAATGCAAAATTCTACTTTGGACTCTTCTAAATATTTGACAATGCTAATATGGAAAATATATGGTTTCATAACGAAGATATTGTCCAGAACAACTCTTCGTACCTGTGAGCATTTTTAGGAAGTCTTTGTTGTTGTTGTTGGGATTTAACTGAGAGTTTTGCTACTACACGACTGCGACGTTTACTTTGACGTCAACGGCGACGACGACGATAACGAACATTAAGTGAATCAAGTGAGGTATTGCGGTATACGCGAGTTTTCTGGGGACTAAGTTCTGAAACGTACGCTTAAGGAAAAACGTTCGGCCGAGAGTGAACGGATAGCGTGTGCCACCAGAATGCGATACTAAATTTTAGTTCTTTTTTGTTTGTTAATTTTAACGAGTGTGTTTGTGTATATTGGAATAATTTCAAGAAAAAAATATTGAAATCACAGCGAGGGGAGAGCCCCTAGGATTACCAAACAAATTGTGTTTTAATTTACAATTTAATTTTTTTTTCAACGAAAAAAATCAAAAGGCTGATCGAAAAAATTCAATTCCCCCCCAAAAAAAAAAAAGTGATTTTTTTCCTATTGAAATGTTGTCTTTGAAATGCAAACAAAATAAGTATACATGGGCCAAGAGAGCCAAAGAGAGTGGTGGCGGCGCTGGCGGTGTACGTGTGTGTGAGCGAGAGTGGCAATAACAACAAAAATATAGCCCAGAAAAAATATCATTTTTTATGTAAAGGTCATTTGATGGGTAGAAAAAGAAGAAGCATGATGAGAAGAGTGTAAAATACAAAAGGCAAAGCAAAAAAAAAAAAAACATCAGTGGAATAAAACAACAACAGCAAAAAATAATAAAACAAAATAATGTAAAAAAGCAAATAAAAATATTGTGCATTTTCCAAACAAACAAGATTTTTTAGAATATTTTTTACACCGATTTTTTTAAATATAGAAAAACTAAAACTACCATTTTACAACTGGATTTTTTTAAAGGTAAGTTTCTTTTTCGCGTGTCCTTTTATCATATTCAGTTTTTCTTATTGTCTCTTGTTTTGTATACCATTCTCACACTCCAAAACTGGTGGCCCGAGTAGGCAGCCAACCAACCAAACCAAAATTAAATTCAAATAGAAACAGCAACAAAAACAACAGAATTGAAGGTTATTTTAACATGACGGCACACGTAGTATCTCTTTCTCTGTTTTAGTTTTTTCTCTCCCCCGTCCCATTTAGTGCCTGAGTATCTTTTTATCCCATCAACATTTCATATGAAATAAACCTGTATTTACTCTCTCTTTCTCTCCGTTGGGTTCTTTTTGTTTGTGTTGTTGGTGTAGTTGCTTTGCCACCTTTTTCCTCCACACAGATGACGAATGTAAACAAAAAATCAAGTGTATCAATTTTGTTGTTGCCTCTCGGTGTTGTGGCATTGTTGTTGTTATTGATAACTGGAGATAGAGAGTGGAGAACCATAACAATGTTGCCAATATTTCGCATGCAGAAAAGCGCTATGATTTTGGTAATGGAAATTGGTGAAATATAGAAAAATAATTTTAATAAAGAAATGATAAATAATAAAATAAGCATAAAATATAATGAAAAAATTAAAAAATAAATAAATATAAACACTAGAATAAAGTAATATTTAAATATAAAAAATGAAATAAAAAAAATAAACTAAAAATATTAAAATTAAAAACGCTCAAGTAAAAATCTAAAAAAATAATAATAATAAATATTAAAAAGACTTGTAAAACTAAAAGAAATATAAATAAAAATTGTAATAAAATGTAAATAAAAATTAGATTTCAATAAAAATATAAAGAAAGTGTCTCGAGTTAAGAAAATAAATTCCAAAATAATCGAAATTTAAATAAAAATATGAATAAACAAAGAATAATTATTTTAAGCAAAAGTGCTGCAATTTTTTTTAAAGTGAAAAAAGGAAAATTAAGATTTGAACAGAAAAAAAAATATAAGAAATAAAATATATAATGACAGAAAATAAACAAAAATAAAAAAATAAATATAAAAATACAAACTATTATTATAAAGAAGAATAAAAAATAATAACTAGAAATATAAAAAAACAGATAATATATAAGAATAAATTTAAAAATAATTTAATAAAAAATTGTATAAAAATTTAATGAAAAACTTACATTCTGCTTAAAAATAGTCACAGCCAAATAAAAAATATGAAAATAAACGAAATAAATAAAACAATAGTATTAAGTTATATTCCCTGTTGAGAACAGACCTACCAAGAGCCTCAAAGGTAAATTTTCAGCTAATTTGGCTGGAAATTGTGGTAGAAAAATACAAAGTGCCGAAAATAGGGAAGTACCGTTATATGGGGGGCCATAACAATTAGTGGACCTACAGCGAATATTTTTGCAGGGAGAGAAAAGACCTGCCAAGAACCTCCAATTTAATGTATTTGTTTGCAAATTATGGCAGAAACCTTTTAAAATACGGAAAATCTGGAGGGACCGTTATAAGGGGGCCATACCAATTAGTGGATCTACAGCTAATATGTTTTGCAAGGAGAGAAATGGCCTACCGAGAACCCCAATTGCCAAGTTTCAGCAAATTTGGTTGGAAATCGTGGCAGAAACCTACAAAATATCGAAAATCGAAAATCGAGGGCTATACCAATTAGTGAACCTGCAAAGAATATTTTTTGCAAGCAGAGAAGTACCTAAGTTTCACTTATTTTGGTTGGAAATTATGGCAGAAACCTTCAAAATACTGAAAATCTGGATGTACCATTATATGGGAGCCCTACCAACTAGTAGACCAGCAGCAAATAATTTTTGCAAGCAGAGAAGTGACCTACTTACAATCCCAATAGCCAAGTTTCAGCTAATTAGGTTGTAAATTACGGTAGAAACCTTCAAAATACTAAAAACCTAAAGGTAACGTTCTATGGGACCTATACCAATTAATGGGACTGTAGCGAATTTTTATTGCAGGGAGGAAACAGCTCTACCAAGAACCCCAGGTGTAAAGTTTCAACTTATTTGGTTCGACATTTTGGCAGAAACCTTCAAAAAACTCAATATCTAAAGGTAACGTTCTATGGGACCTATACCAATTAATGGGTGTGGGATTTTTTGAAGGGAGAAAAATCTCTACCAAGAACCCCAATTGTCAAGTTTCAGCTTATTTGGTTGGCAATTTTAGCAGAAACCTTCAAAATACCGAAAATCGGCAGATACCGTTATGTTGGAGCTATACCTAAACATGGACCCCTATAGCCCATTTTCAATTCCCACCAGCCTGCGTATAATATAAACCTTTGTGTCAAATTTCAAAGCTCTAGATGAAATAATATGGAATCTATGGTGATTCCAACAGACGGACATAATTTTTTTCTGATCAGGAATGTAAATACTTTTTGGGTCTCCGACAAATATTTCGAGGACAATTTTATTATTTAAATAATTCTAGCTCAGGTCGGGGTCGAAAATATGATTGTCAAGAAACTTTTCTTTTTACTTTAAGTTTTCTGACCTTTTTAAAATAACTAGAAATTCCCTGGAAATCCCTCTACTTATTATCATTTTTACAGTAAAATCTAGTTTATTTTCAAATATTCATCAATTTCCGCTAAATTTAGTCTACTATCGCCCAAAAATAACTATAACAACACTCTGAGAAATTACCGAAATATTAAACGAAATTAATACGAGAAATTCGAACGTATCTTTACATTGGCTCTATGATAGAAACATATTCTCGGCACTTTATGTACCTAAACAATTTATAGAGACCGCTATAATATGATCAATATATCAAATGGTAAATCTGTAATCAAGAAGAACTTCCCAATGTTCATTTGCGATTATTTTTCTTGCGGGAATCTCAAAGATGCCTTAACTTCACAGAGCTATGAGGGGTATTTTTATATTTTTTAATTTTATATTTTTGGGAAAATGTTACCAAAATTTGTTTTGCGTCCATTTTTCTTGCGAAAATCCCAAATTCATTTTTAAAAACATATATTTCTTTTGAAGTACATATTTTTTATCACCTTTTATCACAAACTTTACAACTAAAAGTAAAAAATCGCCAAAATTCCCATCCAAACAGTGGCATTGGCATCACTGTATAGCGAGAATAAGAGCACAACAAGATAAATCGAATTAACGGCTCTGCTGTCCATCACACACACACACAACAAGAGCAAGAGAGACAATGTGAGAGAGCGAGCTTAGCTACTCTCCTGTTTTTTTTTTTGTTGCACCGTTGATTTCTTCTCCCCCATCATTTCCCTTAATTATGTTTTGCCATGCCATTGTTGTTGCTGTTGTCTTTCCAGCCAATCCACTCTTATTGACGACGACTTACGATGATTTGCTTGCTGGCCGACCAGGCTAGGTGTGCAAGAATTTGTGCGTGTGTGTGTGAGTGTTATGTGTTGATTTCTTGTTGTTGCTATTGTTGTATCGTTTCATTTGTGAAAGAAATGTCAATAAACTCTTGTGTTTTAATGTTTGTTGCCGTGTGTACCATCATCATCGCCACCAACATCATCGTCGTTGGGATGACCGGTATGTTTTTTTGGTCGTTGGATGTTGTGACCATTGGCAGAGAATTCTCTATAAAATCTATTGAGATTTAATAGGGAATTCTCTACCAAATAGATTGAGATCTATGAGATTTTTTTTAGACAATTTTACAACTGGAAACTTATTTCTTTGAGAAAATAATGTAAGTTAGAGACTTATGGAAAATTTACAATTAAAGAAAAATATCCATTTGTAATTTTTCTATTTTTTCAACTTTAAAAGACTTTAAAATTTGAGACTTGCTCCAGAAGAAATGAATTTCGAGGACCTTTGGACAATTAGAGACTATTCTTAGAGAAAATATACATTTGGAGACATTTCACATAGGGAATTTACAATTAAGGAAAATATCCAATTGTAAATTGTCTATAAGACAGGTCGATTGGAAAACTCTCCAACTGCAAAAAAAAAATTATATTTGGAGACTTTCTATAGAAAAAATTGAATTTTGAGGACCTTTGGGTAATTATAGACCATTCAAAGAAAAACATATTTTTAAATATTTATATTTTATAAAAAAAACCAAAAAAGCAATGGTTTGGATACCATTCGAATGAGATTTTTTGTACTTGGAGACTTTTTAATAGACAAGTTTTAAATTTGAATTTGAGAATTTTCGGTCGGAAATAATTTGCCATTGGAGACTTTCCTATACAAAATATAATTTTCAAAAAATAATAATAATACGTTTTGGAGACTTTTCTTATTTTTTCAAAGAATTTGTAAAATTTTCAATTTGGAGACTTTTCTAACAGAAATGTTTATAACTGCAGCATTTTCCAATAACATTCATTTCCATTTTTTAAATTATTTCTACAAAAAATTTTTACTTTTTGGAGACTTTTGCAAAGTTTTCTATAGGAAAATTGTCTATTTGTAAAATGTTGATAGAAAAAGTCTCCAAAACTAAGCTTTTTATCAGAAACTCCAAAATTTTTAAAAACACAAGTCTCCAATTGAAAATTTTTCCGTAAGAAAAGTCTCCAATTGCAAACTTTCCAATGGGAAAAGTCTCCAATTGTAAAGTTTTCTATAAGAAAAGTCTCCAATTGTAAACTTTTCTGTAGGAAGTCTCCAATTGCATTTTTTCAATAGTTAAAAAATGGCGACTTTTGCAAACTTTTCTTTAGGACGAGTCTCCATTTGTAAAATTTTGATAAAAAAGTCTCCAATTCTAAACTTTTTTATAAGAAAATTCTCCAATGGCAAACTTTTTAACAACACAAGTCTCCAATTGAAAAGTTTTCTGTAGGAAAAGTCTCCAACTGCAAACTTTTCAATAGGAAAAGTCTCCAATTGTAAAGTTTTCTATAAGAAAAGTCTCCAATTGCAAACTTTTCTATAAAAAAGTCTCCAATTGTAAATTTTTCTGTAGAAAAAGTCTTCAATTGCAAACTTTTCTATAGAACAAGTCTCCAT